TTCATCCTCATATGGTATATCTGTAGAAACAACAATTTGTTTTCCTCTGTTGTCCCGCTGATCCTTATCCTCCTCAAGTAACCCCTCTTCGTCAGTTTCCTCCTCAGACCCTTCTGATTCCTCTTCTGAATGATCGTTGATGTGCACAACGGAGCCTAGAGCTTGTGAAGCTGCAGTACCCAGCTGCAATGAGGTTTGTGACATCAAGGTTAAGGCCTCGAAAGTAGGAGGTACTAGTGCCTTGCTCCTCTCCCTTGGAAGAAAAGGAGTCAAATCAAATTCCAAGTTCTGCATCTTATGCAGCTCTGACTTTAGCTCAGCTACCTCCTTTTTGAGTTGAGGAATATCCCCAACTTCGCCTCGATCAACCCTCTCAAGGCAGACATCAAAGTGCTTGAGTCGATCCTCATAAGATAGATGCTATTTTTGAAGAGGAGTGACTGAGGTTTGGATTGGGGCCAGTGCTTGTCGGATGAGAGATGGAAGTTCTTTAGTCAATTTGTCTACTTTGGCATTTGCATGTTGTGCTAATAGATCGAGCTTTGAGAGTGCAGGCAATGAGGCAGGTCGTGGTGTAGTGGCTGGTCTAGGAGTGCATGTGGAAGTGGCCGGTGCGGAAGGACTGCCAGGCACTGATGAGGCAGCAGGTGCTGCTGAGGCTGGAGGAGGAGTGAGTGAAGGCTCTAGTGGATCTTCGACCATTGTATCCGCAACATCATTAATCCGAGTGATGTCAATGTCCTGAACGCATTTTTCTAGGAGGTCATGTTTAGGGATAGGAGGAACCTCCCCAGCTTTACACAGAGCATAGATTAAGCATGGAAAGGGGAGAGATGTCTCTTTCTCATTTGCCCGGATTCCAATCTCACGGAATATAAGTTCTCCCACATCCACCTTGATACCTGACATGATGCAAGCAATGAGGATCGCCTTCTCGATCTTTATGTCGGTTTCATTTCTCGAGGGAATTACCTGGGAAGAGACAATACTGAGCCAATACCAGCCTTCTTGGGTGAGATCCCTTTTGTGAATCTTTTGCCGCGGAGCGATCTAGGGTGGGGTTCCCTTGTCTATAACAGAGGCTACCCAAGCGCGCTCGGGTTCCTTATTTTTAAGATTTTCGTCAAATTCTACTGTGCCTGGCTCCCATTCCTCGAAATATACATCATTGATTGATTTGGCATCACAGAGTACTCCTCGGACTAAATAGATTCCAAGAATCTACGGTTTCTTTTCTGTTCTGAGTTCCTGGATGCAGCATAGAATTCCTGTACGAGTGTCTCGTTGTACTCCCCCCAGAATCTGAGTGAAGGACTCTCATCCCCTCTTTTTGATGTTTTCTAGCACATAGGGATAGTACCGTTCAAACCTAGCTGCTTTTCTTCAAGGATTTTCCTTTTTGTCAGGCCATCCCTGTACAGAGTCCAAGAGCCCGAAATCTCAAACCTGAGAATTTCACCACTTTTTCATCGTGCTTCGGCTTGGAGGTCAACTGGTGGTACAGGGTCAATCTTTGCCTCCTCCTCTTCAGATTGGGAGGAATGCTCAGATACACTTCTAGCTATGTCAGGCCGTGTGCATTTGGATTGCTAGGATTGAGGGCTCAGAGCAGCAGCTCGTTTCTTTCCTCGAGCGGAAGGTGGTCGCGATGCTACGGATTTCTTTGGTGCCATTCCCATCAATTAATCAACAAGTGAGTATGTGATATAGCATGGACAACATGTTAAGAAAGAAAGAACAATGAAGAACAAAGTTGGTTCTGCGATAAGTTCTGCAATAGCATAAAAGTCTGCAAGCCGCAGAACCCATTGCATTATTCAACACTCAGAAGCAAAACAAGTTTTGCGGTCAGCTGAAGTGGCACACAAACTAACTTATGCGACCGCAGATTGGTCGCATTTTGCTCCTCAAATAGAGCATTTTATCTGCCTCTGTCTTCGACCATTGTGCGGTCTGCATAACGTTTCTGCGGTCGCAAATCCAACCGCACATGGACTTTGAGACAACTACCTATGACACAACATGCGATGACTTTGCGGCCCGCGAACCAGTTATGCGGACCGCAAAGATCATCGTCCTTAGTCAAAATAAAGTCTTTACACTCAGTTATTGCACACCCAGCAGGATGAAATCTAAACCAAATGCTACAACTTTCCCACCCCTTGTCATTTATCCTGCTCTCCAATTCAAATCCCCACATAGAAATTTACCCGCAGTAGTCCCTAACCTAGGTTTTTAGTAGAAATCCCCTAACCTAGGTTTTCAATGGAATCACTCTCGATTGATTACCCACAGTAAGGAGTTTGGAAGGAAAAAAAATAGCAATGGAAGCACATGGAAATTTTCAATTGATTAAGAAAGAAAGAGGGGGAAATTGAACATACCAGATATCAAGAGAAACGATCTTGGTCTGAAACACGAGCAAGGTAAGCCCCTTCCTATTCAATTCCTTATTGAATTTTCTTATTTTGTTGTTTTAATGTTTTGATCATTTTTTTTCTTATGTGTTGTACGGTGTGCCTGTGTATGAGAATGATGAAAATGATTTAGGGAGTTAGGGTTAAATACCTTAGAGGTTCGCGGTGAGGCTTTGTATCGCATTACACATTATGCGACCGCATATGTGTTATGCGATGGGTTAGTGACCAAATGATGCAAACTGAATGGGCAATAGGTTCTGCGGTCGCATAATCGTTGTGCGAGCCGCAGAAAGCACATTGTCACCGCATTTTTGAAGGCCCAGATTGCCATTTTTTGTGCTTGTGTCTGCGACCATTATGCGGTCCGCAGACCCATTATGCGGCCGCATATGTTGCCGCAGACCACAAGTCTTGCTTTCCTTCACTTTCCTCTGCCTTTGCATCATGTTTCATTGTATTTTGGCTCACCTGCAATCTAAAACACACGTCAAACTGCTCAACACCTAGATTACACTTGCCGAAATTAAAATCTAACCAAAAAGTGTTACCACGCATGGGTTGCCTCTCTAGAAGCGCTTGATTTAACGTCACGGCACGACGATGTTGCCCTCATTTTGGCTAATCATTGGTGGGAGTTAGTGTAGGATCATCTTTGAGTGCGAATTGTTCTACCAAATGCCTTTCTCCACTGGTTCTGAGGTAATGCTTGACCCTTTGGCCATTTACTTTGAAAGTTCGAGTCCCCTCCTCGGATTCCAATTCAATAGCACCATAGGCAGACACATTCACAACTTTAAACGGGCCGGACTATTTGGATTTGAGTTTGCTCGGTAAGAGCTTCAATCTTGAGTTAAAGAGTAAGACCAAGTCACCGGATTTGAATTCCCGCTTCAAAATCTTCTTGTCATGAACAAACTTCATCCTTTCCTTGTACACGGCTGCATTCTCATAGGCATGAAAATAGAATTCTTCCATCTCGTTGAGTTGAGTCATCCTTAGATTAGCAGCTTCGGCCCAGCCAAGATTTAACTTTTTCAATGCCCATACAGCTTTGTGTTGACATGTGATTTTTGACCCTCCTCGAAATTTTACCCATTTTAGCATGTAAATATTTAGTTTAGGCCTAATATCGCCATTTCAACTAATTTTTACTATTTTACTTTATTTTATTACAAGAAAATAAAAAATTATAAAAATTAGGTTTATTAATATTTTATAGTCATTTTTAATCTTAAAAAAAAATTACCAAAATAGTAGCCTATCTTTATTTTATAATCTTGAAAACACAAAAAAAATAGTTTTATGTTTTATAGTTNAATACCGTGGAGCTTTTTCTTTCCAAAATCCCGACCAAAAACCGAGGATCTCCCTACACATTCCTGATTTGATTGCTTAGATATGTGTCACAACTAACTTACGAAATTTTCCTAGTGAAAACTGGGGCAGAAAATTTCGTTCGTTTGTTTGTTTTGGTATCCTAAGCAGGTCAACCTCCAGACACAAGGTGTGAGATGACCAATGGAATAAATCTCAATCCAGAATCAAGAAAAGAAGAAAAGAACAAAAAAGATGAACTCAAATGTGAAGCAAGCAAAGGCGCAGATTGCTCAAGATATGATTGAAGTCACAAGCTTCGCATGCCCAGCCTTGATCCAAAGCTGAAGAAAGAACCAACACCTACAGCTAACGAGCATCAAGATTCAGATCGGAGTCCGCATGAAGAACCAACCAAGACTCAAGATAAAGCTTCAGAAGACTCACAGATAGGAATCTTGTAACTTGTAGCTGATAGGCTTAGTTAGTCTTTTTCATTTTTGATTTTGATGTAATAACGGGACCGCGACCTGGAACCTCGACGGCACCTCGCTCGGCTTTCAACCTCGGTACTCCATCATCTCATTCATTTCTGAACTACACGTGGCCTGATTCCTTTATAGCCAAGGATATGTAGGCAGCTCAGATACCAGGGCTCGGTCACATTCTCCCTCCTCTTAGTTTTTGCTCTCCTTAAATAAGGGTCGGGTCAAAAAACCTGTCTAGTCATTCTTTGTCTGAAAACTCTTCGCGTTTTCAGTCAAAGAGGGGCAGCTGTTGACATGTGATTTTTGACCCTCCCCGAAATTTTACCCATTTTAGCATGTAAATATTTAGTTTAGGCCTAATATCGCCATTTCAACTAATTTTTACTATTTTACTTTATTTTATTACAAGAAAATGAAAAATTACAAAAAATAGGTTTATTAATATTTTATAGTCATTTTTAATCTTTAAAAAAAAATTATTACCAAAATAGTACCCTATCTTTATTTTTATAATCTTGAAAACACAAAAAAAAATTAGTTTTATATTTTATAGTTTAGTTCAATTAATTAAAATTAGTCTTATATTTTTATATTATAATTGTGCATAATTTTAGAAGAAAGAATTAGTTTTAGGTTGGTTTATCCCGTTTTTATAAATCTTATAGTTCATTTTTTAGTCTTTGGCCCAAAATACTTAGCCCATAGTTCCTAGGCCCATACCCCTAACATAATCCCTACCCTATATAATACTACCTATACCCCAAACACAAGAGACCTAAAAACATTCTAAAAAAACCAATCAGCCGCAGCAAAGAGGAGCGCCGCAGCCATAGAGCTCCCCACCCCCATCAGTTCATCTCTTTCCTCATAAACAAAACCAGAACACAAAATTCCATCTCCCTAAAATAATGCTGGGAGCTAATTGAAAAGAAAAGCAGGGCAGCCGCAAAAGGAAACAGTACCCCCGCCCCCCTGAGCTCGACTTCTTCGCGAACCCCACCCCAAACGACCACTGCTTCGTCTTCTTCGTCCTCGCTGCTGGAAACGGATACACACATGCACATACACCCAAAGAAGCCATGGAATACGATGGAGCTTTGATTGAGGTTTGATACGCCGTTGATTCGAGGGCTGTCGTTCATGTTGGAAGTTCGCGGTTTCTGCTGGTTTTTTCTTAGCGCTGATTTCGCTCAGATTTGGAGTCGAAACTCGCCTCTGTTTTAGCGTTCAAGTTTCTTTGCATTCCAGGTATGAGTACCAGTCCAAAAAAAGGTGCTGTAATTTACCCCTTTATCGATGAATATAAGGGTATTTTATCTGATATTTGAGCTTTCTTCTTCAGGCGTTGTATTTTGCAATTGCTCCTTCTCATATCATTTTCGTAATCGCTCCCTCTCATGTTTCGACTGTTCTTAGAGTATATATTCAATTTTGATAATTGTTCTGTTTTCAAGCTAAGCTTTGTCGTACTGGATTACTTATTTTCAGTATTTAATGGGTTAGTTGTATTTTCTTGGTAGGTTTGTGTTCAAATATATTCTTGTTCTTAATGTGGATAGGTTTATTTGTATAAGTGCTACCAATTCCAGTTTAGACAGAATGTTTTTTTTTTTCTTATTATGTTTCGAAGCTTATGCTTATAATTGGTGTTAACAGAGTGAGTTTACGTTTACTACAAATCTGTTTGCAATTGATCAATTCCAACTTTTCTTAAATTCTTGCAATACAGATCTTTATGGTTCCTGAGTCTTAAATGCTTGAACAATTACATACGATTAAGAGTGTAAAATTAATATGATTATAGTTTTCTTTTACTTCACATTAATAGTTTCAGTTAGGATTGTGCTAAAGTTGTTTTCCACGAGCTTATTCAAGAGCCTCACCATCAACAATCTCAAAGCAGTCTAGAAACAATTCTTGGATATCCGTAGTTTGGTTTCAGTTGAATAAGACCTTTCGGTTAGAATAAATTGGAGTGCGCCGTGCTAAATAAATCTCAAAATGTATGGCCCTCGTTTAATTAATCTTGTTTATCCTTAGAAATCGAGGCGTACCATTTAGCGAACTTTCATGGCCCTCGCAAAGTTGCTAATGCGTAGCTGCTTTAGGCGCGTACTTTAATAATATTACCTTCCTAAACTCGGGTGCACATTTATGTGACCCAAATCCAAATCTCAACGAAGTCGAAATGTGTCGAAGACCGCGGGTGCATTTATGTGACGTGGTTCGAGATGCGTTTTCACGACGTTGCAATTCTCTTTAAAAAATAATAATAAAAGCGGTTTAAATTTAAAAAGCACATAAGTTAAAACATGTATTAAAATCAGATTTTTAGCCAATTATAATAATTTAAGCGACCGTGCTAGAACCACGGGATCCGGGGGTGCCTAACACCTTCCCCCGGGTCAACAGAATTCCTTATTCAGAATTTCTGGTTCCCAGACTCCAATTGAGAAGTCGAAATTTTCCTCGATTTGGGATTTAAATTAAATCGATGACTTGGGACACCAAAAGCCAACCCTATCCCAAGTGGCGACTCTAAAAATCAAATAAATAATCCCATTTCGAATAATGTCACTTTAAATGGAAAAACTCCCTTATACCTTATCCTTCGGGATGGGTGTGTAAAAAAGGAGGTGTGACACTTTGTGTTCAAGCTCCACTAGCAAGTGACATGCCTTACCAAAAACCAACTGGTATGGTGAGGTGCCAATGGGAGTCTTGAATGTTGTTCGATATGCCCACAATGCATTATCTAGCTTCTTTGACCAGTCAGTCCTGTTTGCATTCATAGTTTTTGCTAGGATGTTTTTGATCTCCCTGTTGGAGACTTCCCCCTGACCGCTCGACTGAGGATGATAAGAGGTGGCCACCTTGTGCTTAACTCCATATTTTTCGAGTAGCCTGGCAAAAGCTTTATTGCAAAAGTGAGAACTACCATCACTAAGGATGGCCCTTGGGGTTCCAAACCGCGTAAAGATATTCTTCTTCAAGAAAGTGGTTACACTCCTTGCCTCATTGTTCGACAAGGCAATTGCCTCGACCCATTTGGAGACATAATCTACTGCCACCAAGATATATGTCATGCCGTAAGAGCTTACGAAGGGACCCATATAATCTATCCCCCACACATCAAAGATCTCTACTTCCATCACAAAGTTCATAGGCATCTCATGTCTCCTGGAAATTGACCCTTGTCTTTGACATTGATCACATGCTTTGACCATTTGGTTTGCATCTTGGTAGATCGATGGGGCAATAATAGCCACATTCAAGCACTTTTCTCGCAATACGATTTCCACCGTGATGGCCCCCAACTGGGGAATCATGACATGCTTTGAGAATTTGCATTATTTAATCTTCCGGAACACAACGCCGAATGATGTTGTCGGTACAAATCTGGAACAGAAAGGGTTCCTCACAATAATATTGCCTACACTCCCGCAAGAACTTCTTCTATTGATAAGCTTTCAATCCATCAGGGAAAAGGTCACTAAACAAGAAGTTAGCGATGTCGTCATACCAAGGAGTGAAGGTGCTAGACAATGCCAATATGTGTTCATCTAGGAAGGAATCATCAATTTCAAGATCTTCTTTTGGTCTCCCGGCCTCTTCAAGCCTAGATAAGTGATCCGCAACTTGATTCTCTGTTCCTTTCCGATCTTTGACTTCAAAGTCAAACTCTTGTAACAAAAGAACCCACCTAATCAATCTTGGTTTAGCATCCTTCTTCGCCATAAGGTAGCGAAGAGCAGCATGATCGGTGTAGACTATCGCTTTGGAACCCAACAAATAGGCTCGAAATTTTTCAAAAGCATAGACAATAGCAAGCAGTTCTTGCTCGTCACAGTGTAATTCATTTGTGCGCCATTGATTGTCTTGCTAGCATAGTAGACAGGATGAAGAATCTTGTTATGCCATTGACCAAGTACCGCTCCAATGGCTACACCTCTAACGTCACACATGAGTTCAAATGGAAGAGACCAATCAGGTGAGACAATAATAGTTGCCGTGGTGATCCTTTCTTTTAATTCCTCAAAAGCTTTTAGGCATTTCTCATTGAACTCAAACTTTGCATCCTTTTCAAGGAGCTTGCACACGGGACTTGCAATTTTTGAGAAGTCTTTGATAAATCGCCTAAAAAAACCGGCATGCCCCCAAAAGCTCCGAACACCTTTTACCAAATTGGGAGGAGGAAGCTTGGAAATGATCTCGGTCTTTGCCTGATCAACTTCTATGCCTTGTTTGGAAATTTTTTGGCCTAGAACAATACCCTCGTCCACCGTAAAGTGACATTTTCCCCATTGAGCACAAGGTTTATTTCCTCACATCTTTTGAGCACTTGTCGAAGGTTGTCAAGGCAATTCTCAAAGGAATCACAACCAATAGAAAAGTCATCCATGAACACCTCTAGGAAATCCTCCACCATGTCCGAGAAGATTGACATCATGCATCGTTGAAAGGTAGCCAGAGCATTGCATAGCCCAAATGGCATCCGGCTAAAAGCAAAAGTTCCATATGGGCATGTGAATGTTGTCTTCTCTTGATCTTCCAAGGCAATGTTGATTTGGTTGTATCCAGAGTAGTCATCCAAGAAGCAATAAAATGACCTTCCGGCTAGCCGATTAAGCATCAATAAAAGGCATAGGGAAATAGTCTTTGCAAGTAGCACTATTGAGCTTCCAGTGGTCCATGCAAACTCTCCATCCGGTCACCGTCCTCCTTGGTATGAGCTCATTTTTGTCGTTTTGAATCACGGTCATGTCTCCTTTATTCAGCACACATTACACCGAATTCACCCAAGGACTATCGGCAATGGGGTAGACAACCCCGGTATCCAACCACTTTATGATTTCTTTCTTCACCACCTCTTGCATGGAACATTTTAACCTTCTTTGATGCTTCACGCTAGGTTTGCTTTCTTGCTCCAATTATATCTTGTGCTCACAAATCCCAGCGGGAATCCCTCGGATGTCCGCTATTGTCCACCCAGTGGCCTGCCTGTGCTCTCTCAAGATATTCAACAATTGTTCAACCTGCACATCATTCAACAAAGAAAAAACGATTACAGGTAAGGTTTCATTAGAGCCAAGAAATTTATACCTTAAGTGCAGTGGAAGTGGCTTGAGATCAAGTTGTGGCGGCTCGATAATTGAAGGCTTAGCGGGAGGAGTGACTCTATTCTCTAAGTCAAGAGAAAGTTTCTTCGGTGCATAAGTGTAGGACCCAAGCCCTTCCAATGCATTTACCGATTCCATGTATCCTTCCATGTCTTCACCATCAAAATGTACCAAAATAGTTGCCAATGCCTCACCAAGGCATTCTTCTTCCATCTTTACCCTGACTGCATCCTCTACCTCATCAACAACATAAATGACTGAGATACTTTCGTATGCATGCGGCACTTTCATACCCTTACTCGCTTGAAAGGTAACCTCTTCGTCATTAACTCGAACTTGATATCATTTCGTTCTGAATCCATGAGTGCTCTTCCGGTAGCAAGGAATGGTGTCCCCAAGATGATTGGGATTTCTTTATCAATAGCACAATCGAGGATAACAAAGTCGGTAGGGAGGAGGAACTTCCCCACTTCCATAAGGACATCATCAAAAATTCCCACCTGTATCTTTATTGAACAGTCGGCCATTTGCAACCTCATACTTGTAGGCCTAAGCATACCTAAACCCGCTTGCTTGTAAATAGCAAGAGGCTTTAAGTTGATGCTAGCCCCATTATCACAAAGGGCTCATGCAAAATCGCGCAACACAATAGTGCATGGAATGGTGAAAGCTCCCGAGTCCTTTTTCTTTTGGATCGTGGTTGTTGCAATGATGGAACTAACCCGGTGAGTCACATTCACCACTTCATTCTTGGTGGTTCTCTTTTTAGTGACTAACTCCTTCAAGTACTTAGAAAAACCCGGCATCTCTTGAAATGCTTCCACAAAATATTTACCGATAATTGCTTGAAAATGTCATAGAACTTTTTGAGTTTGCTATCATCAACCCTCCTAGAAAGTCTTTGAGGGAAAGGAGGCGGAGGCCTGGGAATTGGTGCTAGAGTTTTTGGTGCCTCTATTACCTTTTCCTTAACCTCCTCATAGTTCACTTCTTGAGTTCTCACCTTCTTCGGGGGTCTTTCAACTTCAACAACAATTGGCACCTCAACTTGTGCCTCGACTTCTTGTTCAGAATCTTCCACTTCAACCACTCGTTCATTTTCTCCTTGAAGTAGTTTCCCACTTCGAGTTGTGATTGCCATACAATGCGAGGTTGGGCCACTCCCACTACCTTTTGGGTTTGCAATTGTGTCACTTGGGAGTGTGCCTTTTTGCTTCGGGTTTCGCTCTCTTGAGAGATCTCTCATTTGCATCTCCAACTTTTAAATAGATGCGATATGAGAGCCCACAAGCTTGGTCATGTTATTCATTGAAGTGTCGGATCTATCTTGATTTTGCAATACTCGTTCAAGCATGTTTTCAAACTTGGACTCACTCGAAGAACTTATTTCCAATGTGGAGAGTTTGAATATTGCCCCTTTGGTGGAACAT